ACATATATATACACATACATACACATAGCTTTTCATTTTCAATCAATACCCTAAAAAAATACTTATGCGGTTTTTTTTGCAGCAGGTTGCATTACTGTCACCAGATAAATTCATACTGATTTTAGGAGAAAAAAAAACATTTAATTCGAACATTTCAAAATCAAACTTATTTTGAAAAAACAGCGTCAAATAAAATATAAATTAGTTTAATGAATTAGTCCATTGCAATTATTATATTACTCATTAAATATAGCAAAACATTTGTACCAACACACACTAGAAAGGACTTTTTTTTCCTACCCAACGTTCAGATGATCTACCAGGGCTTCAGTTAGACAAGTGGCAGCAGCGATCGCTTCACGTCTGCGTTTCTCTGTGCAAAAAGGAACAATGTAAAAGAGCCATGAATGAGTGCTAACTTAAAATCCTTGTTTTTAGCCTGTGCTAACATCCTTTCCCTTCCATCCAGCCTCCTCACCCTGTAGCTCCTTCCGCTCATTTTGCTTCGCTTGGTGCTCCTTCAGAAGACGGGACAACATATCGCTTATGTAGAAGCTGGGGTTAGTTTAGCAAAAGCTAACTCATTGAACGATAATTTTCTGCAAGAAAAAGAACGTCAGCTGATGGAAACGACAACAACTAGCCTGTCACGAGACCCAGTAGATTTTCTTCTTCTTTGTCTTTAATTACACACTGCAGCCACGACTTGACAGTGCACAACGACACCTACTGTATCGGAGTATATAAGATGCGCAACGTCGATTGGTTGACTTTACATAAATAAATAAATAAATAAATAAATAAATAAATAAATAAATAAATAAATAAATAAATAAATAATACCACAGAACAAAGGATAACTAAATCCTAAGGTATATTCCTCCATTTTCCGTATTTTACAAAACAGCTTTTTATGTTCCCTTGAGTTTTTATGTTCAAAACAGACCTTACATACCCTCCTTCCTGCCACATCTTCCGATTTAGTGCCATCCTTATATTTTTTACAGTGTACAAAATATATTTTCCACATTATCTGTACTAATGCAAACAATATTTTACAGTATGATGTTTCTTAAATAAATATAAGGGCAGGGATTTCTGAGTAATGACAAACTTAAATTTAACAATTAACATATCTGGTCTGGTCTCCTAAATCCATTCTCTGGAAAACAACAATAACACCATGTGTGTTGTATAAACAGATACATCCTCTATTTAATGTTCTCCTTAAATGAAGTTTGAACTCTAGAACTATGAAGTTCACTACTGTTGGACCTGATGGATTCTGGGATGCATCTGTTTCTGCTCTTCAATTCTTTTAGCAAGGGTTGTAAACCAGACAGTGTAGACTGGTTTTGACTGTGTCCCTATATACTTAGTACTTTAATGACATCTGACTCCTTCCTAATCATATTTTATCCTCTTCTTGCAAGGCTGAAGCTAGAGTTTTCCTACTGGTTCTTGTTATTAACTCTATAAGGCCTGATACTGGTTGGTGCCTATGTCAGGCCCTGATCTGTAAACTGCGCAAACACAATTAACCTTTGAAATACTGAGACTGGAGCTCAAACCGACAACCCTCTGATTGCTGGGCAAACTCCTGCACCCGACGCCACTGTCACCCATAGCATAGCGGTCAAAATGAAGCCTAATTTTGACAACTTTTAGTCTAACCAAGCCATTAGCTGAAATGGATTGGACAGAACCCTGGTAAAGGGAAACCAAGATCAGAGAAAAATAAGAGGGTCGGCCTGATTTCAGCACAGCACTGACAATTTTCAGTGTAGCACTCTGGTATGCTGAAATGCTTCGAGATAAAAGATGAGAAACTGACTGAATATTTTATGAGATTAGCTGACCTGTATGGTTTGAGTCCAAAAGAAGTAAAATAACCAGCCTGTGCTAGAAAACAAAATCCTTAAAAAGATGTTACATTTATTAAGAGAGAGAGGCAATGGTAGGGTAATGCTTAAGCAAGAGAGAGAGACAATATGAACTATTTGCCCTTTTTCATTTTAGGTCTGGAAAGCCTTTGTCTTTGAATTTACCTTAAGCTACAGATAAGAGATATGATATCCTGCTTTATCGTAGCTAACATATTTATGGTTGATGTATTCTTTGTACATACAGCGTTTTTTTCCCTAAACCTTCTGGTCAAAGTGCATCCATAGTCCTCATTCTGTTCAGAAGAGTCTTTCTCCTCTCAATATGGTATGCAGTGCTCCTTAAATAAAAAACAATGACATCTGACATCCTGGCACCATTGATGCATGTTTTAAATGAGGTTGGTGCAGACCTTAGGAGCCTTTATCAATAACTTTGTGTCTTTTGCCCCCTCTCTTCCCCTCTTCAACTGCATGCACTGATCTAGGCAGTTTCTTCTTGCTCTGATTTTTACTCTTTCCATAGCATGTGACTTCAATGGAGTGGCTGGTGCTTAGTTCTTGTGGTTATGCTTGCCTGGCATAGAATATATGTTCCATTGTTTAATCTTGTTTTAAACCCTTGCACACATTACATTGTTTTTATCTTTGTCTTTTGGGGCCTAGAATGTAGTGTCACATGCTTTGTGGTGTAGTTAGAGTTAGAGGTATTGAATTTTCTTTGTGGAAAAGAATGCTTAAAAGAACAATTTTTTATTGCATGCTTACCATTTTTGTAGTTTAAATGCTGAACCGATGGCTTAAAATTTAAATAGTAAAGCTTTCTGCATTATGCATGTGCATTAACCCAATGTATGCTGCTCTTTTTATATGCTTTTATGAAAGAATAACCATTATTCACCCGGCAATGAGGCCTAACCAAAATGTTGTAAATCATGTAAAGTATCAATTATTTCCCAACATATATTTAGATTTATTGATAATAGAAAGCTTCTGTGGCAACAGTGACTAAGGAAGAAGTGGTAATTCTTTTTAACCATTGGGTTGGCAGTTTGAGCCCGTGCTCTCTCTGTCGTTGTGTCCTTGGGCAAGACACTTCAGTCACCTTGTCTGCTGCTGATGGTCAGAGGGCTGAGTGGTGGTGGTGTATGACAACCTAAGTCTGCACCAAGGCAGCCATGTGGCAAACCACAACCACAGTGCCTGAATATGATGTAGAGTGTTTTGGGGGTCCTTAGACTAGACACAATGCTCTATTAGTAAAGACCATTTACCTGTTAAAGATGGACTCTGTTTATGTTCTCTTCCCTAGAAAGAGATAGCTTGGTACAAACTCTTTAAATAATACATCATAAGATGTATTATTTAAGATTCTGATAAAAAAAAAGTAATCTTACTAAAATCAGAGAAATTGTTTAGAGTCTACAGAAGGCAGCTGTTCACCTCTGGGCTTACCTCTCAGGAAGTGGCCCCAATTAACAGTTAAAAAGGCATTTTATACATCTCCAGTCTGCCACATCATCTTATTTTACCTCATACACATTAGCAGATAATTAGACATCCATGGCTCCAGCCTTATCAAAAATATTACACCTAGTTCTTAGCTGAAGGACACTGCTCTCATTCCATTTCCAAATCTTTGCCATGTACAATGAAGACTACAACTGTATATCCAGACAGAGGAACTGTCTTATCAGATTAACTATTTTGAAAACATCAGTTCTGACATGCAACAGACAGCCAATACCAAGGTGTAATAAACTCACACATCTTCAATGATAATTATCCTAACAAACCATTTTTAACATTCTGTAGAAAATAAACAACTATTAATGTTATACAATTAACCAGAATATTTAAAACAGGTGGCACAGACTGAATAAATATTTTTTCTATATTCAGGGGTTGACGTTAAGGATTTTTACCACTTGCCCTGTTTGTTTTTTAAATGTTTTTTGTAATTCAGTATTTTTTAAT